GATGTGAGTTAAAAAAGAATACTTAAGAATCAAACTCAATTTTACTCTTAACCTGAACAGTTTTGTAATTTGATTAAAGCTTCCCCAAACACAAATAAGTACAGAGCCATCTTCCTAAGAACTTTAGTGAAAAGTGGATTAACCGTGGGGAGAATGCAATATGGCAGGCTGACTCTGCCCGCTGCCAGCAATTCGATTCTGACCGGGTCAAAGTTGACTCGGCCTTCCATCCTTCCGAGGTCGGTAAAATGAGGACGCAGATTGTTGGAGAGGGAGGGGGATATATTGACTCTATACTGAGAGTATTTGCACCAAGACAAATTCCTTGTGTGTCCAACTAAACTTGGCCAATAAAGAATTCTATTCTATTCTATTCTATTCTATTCTATTCTATTCTATTGAAACGGCTTAGAGGGCTGTAAAGCACCATGAAGCGGTATAGACCTAGTTTCTGTGCTATTGCTTTTGCCTACAAAACTGTCCCAACAGGATCATTTAAAAGGGTAACAGATAACAGATAATCAGAGTTGGAAGGAACCTTGTAGATCATCTAGTCCAACCCCCCCCCACCCAAGCAGGAGACCCTACATCATTTCTGACAGATGGCAGTCCAATCTCTTCTTCAAGGTCTCAAGTGATGGTGCTCCCACAACTTCTGAAGGCAAAGCTGTTGCATGGGTTGATTGTTCTCACTGTCAGAAAGTTTCTCCTTATTCCCAGGTTAAATCTCTCCTTGTTCAGTTTCCATCCGTTATTTCTTATCTGGCCTACAGGTGCTTTAGACAATAGCTTGACCCCTTCCTCTTCTCTGTGGCAGCCCTTCAAGTATTGGACCATTGCTATCCTGTCTCCCCTGGTCCTTCTCTTCACTAGACTAGCCATGCCCAGTTCCTGTAACCGTTCATGTTTTAGCCTACAGTCCCCTCATCATCCTGGTTGCTCTTCTCTACACTTTATTTCTAGAGTCTCAACATCTTTTTTACAGTGAGGTGATCAAAACTGGATGCAGTACTCTAGGTGTGGTCTTACTAAGGTTTTACAGATTGGTATTAGCACCTCACTTGATCTTGACTGTATCCCTCTGTTAATGCAATTTAGGGTTGCATTTGCTTTTTTGGCTGCTGCTGCACACTGCTGGCTCATATTTAACTGGTTTTTCCACTAAGAATTGATTGTAACTGGTAGCTAGATGGATAAATAATCCTGCATATTACAGTCCAAATAACTTAAGATCAGTTTCTGGAAAATGGATGAAAACTGTTTTGAAGATACCGTTGAAAACTATGTTAATAAAAAAAAGGGGGGACCTGAAGAAGACTTTGAAAAAAATGTGATTTTTTTTTTCCTGGTCCAAAACACTGTGAAGAAAGAGATACAGCAGAACAGATCCATATAGGTAGTCTTCTACTTACAACTAGTTGTATACCAAGCATTCAAAGTGAAGACAAATACCTCCCCCAAAAAAGATACTCATGACCAGGATTCAAAGTTTTAACATCCATCCCTAAAATGGTCACATGATTACATTTTAGACACTTAGCAAGCATCTTTTGCATTTACATCCATTGGTAGCATCCTGTGGTCCATGACTGTGAGGTACATTTTTCTTCCAGGAACTGGAATTTAATTTCATTTTGCGGCAAAATTGTCCACTGTGGACAATACATTTGTTTCACACTTAAGCGCAATAGCACTTAAGGCTTATATGCCACTGCTTTACAGCCCTCTCTAAGCGGTGTACAGAGTTGCTCCCAACAATCTGGGTGTTGTGGTTCGCCGGCAGCAGGTGCAGACGGCAGCGGAATCAGTGAGGAAGAAAGGGGACCAGACAGGGAGTCTGGAGAGGACTTGGACGAGGGTCCTGCGTCCGATGCAGGGATGGGGGGGTCACGACCATCTGGGAGTGGGGTGCTGCCTTCGGAGCCTGGTAGCAGCGAAGCAGAGGACCCAGGGGAGCCTGTTCTCAGTGCGTGTGCGCGCAGAGCTGCTAGAAGGCGAGAGCAGCTGAAACAAACGGGGTGACTCAGAAGTAAGGCTGGGAGGTGACTGCCCCTCCCATAAGGGATAAAAGTCAGACCTCAATGATGAAACCTTTGCAGGAAGCAAAGTAGTTCGATAGATTCCGAGTCTCCTTGAAGCTCTGGTTGGTTTTTTCTGGTACTTTGCTTGGTTTCTGTTATAGTTAATTGGATAGTTTTTGGCAGCATTCCACAGCACTGAAAGGTATGTGCTTATTTTGGGGAACTATTTAAGATTAGTTCCGGCTGGGAAGGAAAACAATTCCCAGAGTTGCAATAAAATAGGTTTTGCTTTTAAAACAAGTTTGATATTAATTACATTTCACGAAGCCTGGGTCAGAATACTCGGTCTTCATTTTACTGATGATCTCGGAGGGATGGAAGGTTGACTCAACCTTTAGCTGGTCAGAATCGAACTGCTGGCAAGTCGGCAGAGTTAGCCTGCAATACTGCGCTACCACAGCTCCAATCACAGGGTTCGCTAAATAACTGTCACAAATGTCATAAAATCTGGTTGGTGATGTAATGACCCATTTAAGCACCAGCACAACTTATGGCCTTAATTCCAGGCTCAATTATAGTCGCAAGTCAAAAACTTTGGGGTTTGGGATGGATTGGGCTGGGCTGGACTACAGGAGTTTCCTGTCCCCACCCACCCCCACTCCAAGGAGACTTTCTGCCCCTGATGCTCCATCTCCTTTGGCATCAATGTACCATTTTCTACATTCGCTATTGAGCAAACCATAAATAAATGCCACTTGTCAAATGCCTGAATTGCGACCATAGAACTATGGGGGACTGTGATGACCCGGAGCATGGCACAAAGGCAACACAGTCAGATAATCAATAAGAGTACCTTTAGTAGCTCCAACTTTGCCTCCAGCGTCCAGATTACCTTCTGGCTGGAGAAAAACTCTCCCAGGAACAGCCTTTAGCTGCAGAATCAAGTCCAAAACATGGTCAACATAAACTGTAACTTTAAGTCCAGTCAAACCAAACTGAGGTAATTAGTTTGACAGGGCAGGAGCAAGAATTCCAGACATGAAGGCATGGCAAAACTCACATGATTAGGAAGAGCCAGGAACACAGATAAGCAAAGTCACATTTGCTCCCAGCAGCTGCCGCACACAGCCTGCATTTCTTATAAACTTTCTTCCCAGCTGTGGCTAATGAAGGGAATCAGGGCCCTTTCCTCCCCCGTAAGTCACACGACCCACGTTGCTCTCTTCTCTGTTCCTCCCTGCCTGCCCTAGGATGAAGAGGGGGTAGGGCTTGGTTTTCCTCTGAACTCCCTCTCCCTTGTTCTACCCCTTCCCTGCTCTGCCCAGCCGGACTTTGCCCTTCCCAGGTTTCCTCCACAGCCAACGGAGCCATACTCCCACTCCCTGTCAACTGTTCGTCTTCTTCCTTGGATTCAGACTCCAACAGGGGCATGATGGACACTGTGAAGTCATCAAGTGTGAAGAGGGGTCATAAGTTACTTTTTTCAGCACCAGTGTAACTTTGAATGGTTGTTAAACAATTAGTCATAAGTCAAGGACTCCCTGGAAATATAAAATAAGTCCTGATGGGCGGCGTGACGGAAAACCTGACCCAGTTGTTCAGCTACAGTGAAAAAGACAAAACCGATGCTAGGGATTCAAGCAGTTTTCATTTCAGTTTATTTCCTATCTCATAAATGTCTATACAAATAGTATAAAATGAAAGGTTGGTTTTTATTGAGCAAAATGATGGAGAAACACAACCAGCTCAGACAAGGGATGTCTGCAGAAAACTTCCTGTACAGTTTGCGGCACAGAAATGCAACAGATTCTAGGTCAGATATGCCTCCAGTTCTGCTGCGTTAACAATTTCACTGAGAATATTTATATAATGCATCTCTGGTATACAATCATAGAAAAAAATGGAGAAAGAGTCATCAAATCCAATCCCACTTCTGTGCAGGAATCCAAGCTGAAATATTCCATTTGCAGATATTCTGCCAGCAGCTATGGGTTCAAATCAGTGAAAACGAATCCACCACCATTCTGGATAGTTGATCCAACTGTTTAACAATTTACTCCCGATGCTAGGATTTTTCCTTATAAATAAAATGTGGAAATCTTTAGGGGCTTTCCAAGTTATCTCCTAGACCAGGAGTCTCCAAACACGGCAACTTGAAGACTTGTGGACTTCAACTCTCAGAATTCCCTAGCCCCGTGATGGCGAACCTATGGCACACGTGCCACAGGTGGCACGCAGAGCCATTTTTGCGGGTACGCGAGTCCCAGCCAAACTTGCGCATGCACGTGCCTCCCAGCTTATTTTTGGCCCGTTTGAGGCCATTTTCGCCCTCCCGGAGGCTTGAGGGAAGCCTCTGCGGTCTTGGGAGAGACCGAAAAATGGGCCTTCCGGAAATACTGGAAGTGCCAAAATAGGCCCGTTTTCAGCCTCCCGAGGCTGCAGAGGCTTCCCTTGAGCCTCCGGGAGAGCGAAAACGGCCTCAAACCGGCCGAAAATCAACTGGAAGTCGCGCGCATGTGCAGTGCAGGTAAGTGAGCAGGGCAAGGATGCTGCTTGTGCATGCGCAGGGTGTGTGCATTGCATTGTGGGTGTCGGCGCACGCTTTCGGTACACCACAACAAAAAGGTTCCCCTTCACTGCCCTAGCCAGTAGTAAGTAGCAGAATAACAAAATAAGAGATGGAAGGGGCCTAGAAGATCTTCTAGTCCAACCCCCTGCTCAGGCAGGAAAGACCATTTCAGACAAATGGCTGTCCAATCTCTTCTTAAAAACTTCAAGTGTTGGAGCATTCACAACTTCTGGAGGCAAACTGTTCCACCAATTCTGTCAGGAAATTCCTCCTTAGTTCTAAGCTGCTTCTCTCCTTGATTAGCTTCCATCCATTGCTTCTTGTCCTGCCCTCAGGGGGCTTTGGAAAATAGCTTGACTCCCTCTTCTTTGGGGCAGCCCCTGAGATATTGGAAGACTGCTGTCATGTCTCCCCTGGTCCTTCTTTTTATTAAACTAGACCTACCCAATTCCTGCATCTTTATATGTTTTAGCCTCCTGTCGCTTAAGTCTTAAAGTTGCCAAGTTTGGAGATCCTTGTCCTAGAAATTTCTTACTAAGAACGCCCTAACCGTGTCCCTCTAGTATGTTGTTGTTGTTTTTTAATGTCACTTTAGACTTCTTGCCCTGTAGAAGTCTTTCCCACCTTGATAACATTGATATGGTCGTTTTCCAAGATGAATTCTTGTATGATATTAAGGCTCTCTCTGGCGTGGATTCTCTGATGCCTCTTCAAATTTCCTCTCTCGTTGAAGCATTTCTGGCAGTGAGAACATTTGTACGGCTTCTCGCCTGTGTGAATTCGCTGGTGTTTCTTCAACGTCCCCATTTGATTGAAGCCCTTCCCGCACTGAGAACATTTGTAGGGTCTTTCACCAGTGTGGGTTCGTTGATGTCTCTTCAGGATTCCCGACAGGCTGAAACATTTTCCACACTGGGAACATTTGTAAGGCCTCTCCCGAGTGTGAGTTCGTTGATGCCTCTTCAAAATCCCCGTCTCTCGGAAGCATTTCCCACACTGAGTGCATTTGTAGGTCTCTCCAGTATGAATCCTCTGGTGCATCTTCAAACAGTTGGTGTGACTGAAGCATTTCCCACACTGGGAACATTTGTAGGGTCTCTCTCCGGTGTGAATCCTTTGATGGGTCTTCAGGTTGCCCGACTGGTTGAAGCATTTCCCACAGTGGGAACATTTGTACGGCTTCTCCCCGGTGTGAATTTTCTGGTGCTGTTTCCAGTATTTGGCTTTATTGAAGCCCTTCCCACAGTGGGAACACTCGTACCATTCCTCTTCGGGATTACACACCGGGAATCTGTTTAGTGAGTTTGGGTTAGTCAAGGTTTTCCCAGACTCGGGAGAATTGTTATGTGTTTTTCTGAGATTGTTACTCAGATAAGTGTTTGCGTTATTCCCTGTTCCATTCTCAGCTATTTCAACCCTTTTCTCACTTACAATGCCTTTCTCCTCTTGATTCACATTTGAAGTATGCTGGTAGCCGTCCTCAAATCTCTGAGGACATTGGTCCAATTTCTCCACAGAAGGTATCGGATTCAGTTCCACCTGGTACAGGTACCTTTTATCATATTGGGAGAACATGGACATTTTATCCTTGTTGGTCTTTTCTGGAACAGCAGTAGTAAGATCCTTTTCAAGCATGTTGCGCCTTCTCTCAATTTCCAGCGGTGGCCTCCATCTATGCTGATTGGATACACCGCTTTCTCCTTCCATCTCGGCTTTTAATGGCAGATTCTCAGGGCATATCACGGTGTCTTGGCCACATATCTCTTCTGCATCTTCTCCACCCTGAAAATCCTCCACTTTAACCCTATTCTCCTTTCTGTCACCTGCAGAGCAAGACAAAAATCTTTTAATCCTTCTCCTGAGGCCTTCATTTCAAACAAGTGCACTAATCTCCTTTTTCTACCGATGCATTTATTTGGGGGTAAAGCATGCTTCGAATTTTTTTTTCTTCCGTTGATTAATTTATCGAAATATAAAATACAAAGAGAAATGAAAATGATGGGAAAGTAAGAGAAGAAAAAGGAAAAGAGGAAAAAGTGTAGGGTAAAAATGGAAAGGGGGGGAAAAAAGCAGTGACTTCTTTTTAGCATAGTAAAATAAAGTGATAACACACAGCCTCAACTTTTTACTTTTGCATAATCATATATACTAGCCATTACTATAACAACAAACCTATCCAATCGGTAAAACCCCAAATCAATGTTTCATTTTTTCCCCACCTCAAGCAAAAAGTCCAGAAGTGGTTTCCAAGTAGAAACAAGGTTGGTTGTATTTTTTTTCTTTATAACAGCCAATGGTGGGCGTGGCCTAGTCAGCCTCCTGCAACATGGGGGGGGGGGGCATTTTTGCCCTCCCTGGGCTCCAGAGGCTGTCTCCGGGAGGACAAAAACAACCTCCCCGGGCTCCGGAGGCTCTGTGGAAGCCACAAACAGGCCCATTTCCGGCCTTCCCAAACTTCTGGGAAGCCCGTTTTTTGCCCTCCTCCAGCCTCCGTGCGTGCCCTGCATTTACCTGCATCCAAAACAGGCCGCTTGGGCGGGACGGGACCAGCCAGGAATGGGATCGGGGAGTTCTCCAAACTGCACAGAATCTTAACTAGGGGGCCTCCCGAACCCCTGTGAATCCTCAGCAGCCCACACTCCTGAATTCAGCCCCGTCTATGCTAATCCTGTCAGTTTTTGCAGCCAATCATCCATTGTGGGGAGAATGCTTGATTCACTCCCCCCCCCCCCCCCCCACCGGTGCTACCAAATGTCCCCTTTATCACAGTTTTGTAGTTTTTGAGGATACAAACACCCCTAAGTACAAGCTCGGCTATTTTGTAAATGCATTTGTTAATTGAAATATTTTTTTATCAATAGGAATTGTTTAGGGAGAACTTTTCATTAAACATTTACTGAGAACAGCATGCTTCGTAGAAAAAAACTGGTCATTTGTGGATTTACTGATTAAAAATGGTTACAAGAGGGAAGAAGGGAACTGTAATCGTGAAGGAGGGGACGATATGTATGTCTGCTGAAAAGATTGGAAGTCGCTTCTTTAGGTATCTTTCAAATGTATCCCTTTTTCCTCACTCCCTATTATTTTTAATATTTTTTTCTTTATCTTTCTTTCTTTCCCACTTTTTAAATTCTTTTGTTTATCTTTTAAGTTTGAAAAAAGGATTAGATGGGGGGGATGGATAAAGGATGACAGATGATAGATATGATAGATAGATAGATAGATAGATAGATAGATAGATAGATAGATAGATAGATAGATAGATAGATAGATAGATAGATATGGATGGATAACAGAAGATATATATGATATGTGTGTGTGTGTATGTATGTTTTCTTAAGTTTTCGTGGATATTTATATGTAGAGCTGAATACTATGCATACATACATACATACATACATACATACATATATTTATGAAAGAGAGAGAGAGATGGATTGATAGAGAGATAGATAGATATAGATGGATACAGATGATAAAGAGAGAGAGAGAGAGATGGATGGATAACAGATGATAGATATGGTAGGTAGGTAGGTAGATAGATAGATAGATAGATAGATAGATAGATAGATAGATAGATAGACAGACAGACAGACAGACAGACAGATAGATATGGATGGATAACAGATGATATATATGGTAGATAGATAGATAGATAGATAGATAGATAGATAGATAGATAGATGATAGATAGATAGATAGATAAATAGATAGACAGACAGATAGACAGACACAGATAATCAGAGTTGGAAGAGACCTTGTAGGTCATCTAGTCCAATCCCAAGCGGGAGACCCTACACTGTTTCTGACAAATGGCAGTCCAATCTCTTCTTGAAAGTCTCAAGTGATGGCGCTCCCACAACTTCCAAGGGCAAACAAACAGACAGACGCAGACAGACAGACAAATAGACAGAGAACTGTTTGAATGGTGACTCTTCCCAGTACTTTAATTTCATTCAAGAACTAATAATACATGAAAAAAAATACGTAGATTGTGCTTCTTTTGAAGGAAGTGGTCAGGTTTAACCATTCCGTTCTGTTCTTCCAAACAGTTATCTTTTCCCGACTCCCCCAATTCACTACAGATATCTAATCAGATATCTATTTTTTCCCTAAGTGATAAGTACATAGACAGGTGTAAATAGGTGGGATGATGTTTCCCAGCCTTGCTGGACTCTACGTACCCTCCTCACTTAAACCACCTATGTTTCGAGGCTCTTCCTGCAGGACCTGCCAGGCTGTGCTCTGGTGGGCTGCGTGGGTCAGCCTCTGCTTGGCTGCCTGCAAACGCACGTCCGTTTCTTTGAGGTCCATCAGTTCCTGCAAAGAGGTGAAGACACCTTCCCATCAGGTCCTATTGCCAAAAACCCAGAATAAACCTTCATGGCCAAAACCACTGATTACAATACTGTATCCAATCCACGGATCAATGCAGTGAAGCTAACAGGAGCCTGTATCTCAGTACAGGTAGTCCTTGTTGTGGTTCGCCGGCAGCCTGTGCAGACAGCAGCAGAATCGGACAGTGGAGAAGAACGGGGACCAGTCAGGGAGTCTGGAGAGGACTCGGACGAGGGTCCTGGGTCCGATGCAGAGATGGGGCCAGAACCATCTTGGAGTGGGATGCTAACTCCGGAACCTCTGCAGTCTGGCAGCAGCGAGGCAGAAGAACAAGGGGAGCCTGTTCCCAGAGCGCATGCGCACAGAGCTGCTCGAAGGCAAAGGCAGCTGAGACAAAAGCAGTGACTCGGGAGTAAGACTTGGAGGTGATTGCCCCTCCCATAAGGCATAAAGGACAGGCAAAGGTGATGAAAGCTTTGCAGGAAGCAAAGGAGTTCTCTCTGTTCGGATTAATCCTTGAAGCTCTGTGTGTGGACTTTGTATTTCAGTTTGTTTTTTTATAATTCATTTGGCACTTTAATTGTTAGCAGCAATTCAAATTAGTTGTTAGCAGCAATTCCAAGGAGAGAAAGGTGGGTGCTTATCTCAAGGGACTGTTTGAGACTCATTACCGGCTGGGAATGAAAATAATTCCCATCATTGAAATAAAACAAAAGTTGTTTTAACTATGTGTGTGCTTAATTATGGTCTCGGGAAACCTTGGTCAGAACAATTTAGTAACTTACAACTGCCCTTCACACTTACGATCACTGCAGCATCCCTGTGATCACATGATCAAAATTCAGATGCTTGACAACTGATCTGTGATAGTTGCAAGGGTTCCAGGGCCATGTGATCAACATTTGTGGCCTCCTGAGAAGGAAAGTCAATGGGGAAGCCAGATTCACTCAACAAACCATGTGACTAGCTTAACAACTGCCGTGAACCGTGGCAAGAAAAGTCGTAAAATGGGGCAAAACTCGCTTAAGAAATGTCTCACTTGGAAAACGAAGAATCTGAATATTACATGGTATGGGATTTGTTTTATCAATAGTTAGAAAATAAAACAAATTAAAATGGACTAGATGTATATATAAAGCAATAAGAGAAGCTTGTGAAATAGATATATTGGATATTACTTACATGGGAATGTGATTATTGTTCTATTGATAAGAAGTGCATTATTAATTGTAAGCACATGAAATATATACCTAATGGACACATAATTGAAATGGAATGGATTTATTGTATGTAAAAATAAAAAAAACTTTTATTTAAAAAAATGTCTCACTCAACGACAGAAATTTTGGGCTCAATCGTGGTCGAGGACTATCTGCTTTCTCGAATCTCTAGGCCAGTTTGTGTGTCATCTTCGGATTTAGGTCTGCAAAAGCCATTTCCCCAAGTCTGAGGAGATCAATTGTAAATAAACTCCCAGATAACAGAGCCAACAATGAATTCAGTGGTGGGATTCAAATTATTGACTACCTGTTCTGTGGGCGTGGTCATGTGACTGGGCGAGCATGGCTATATGGTCACGTGACTGGGGGGGGTTTGTCAAAAGTCTTTTTTTTTCTTTCGCGGAATCCCCTCCCCCTTGCTCCCTTTTTGGCCTAGTGGGCCTCAGGGAAGCCTCCTGGGTGCTGGAAAAAGAAGCATTTTGAAGCCTTCTGAGGTAAATACAACAGCGAGGGGGTGGAATCAGCTGTGCCGCGCGATTTAGTTTAGCTGGAAAGCAAGAAATCTGATGATTTCCTGCTTTCTAGCTAATCTAAATCGCGCGGCACAGCTGAGCGTCACCCAGCTGAGTGTCGGAATACTGCCGGTTCGCCGGTAGCATTTTTTTTACTACCGGTTCTGGTGAACTGGGACGAACCGGGAGCATTTCACCTCCGGTGGAATTCTAGTCAGAAATAAATGCCACCAATATTTCAAATCTGCCCCCAAAACTACCCCGCCAGAGCAGCACCTACCTCTTTCAGTCCAGATCGGACCACTCCAGGTCCTTCGAGAGGAAGCAACGAGCTGATGTCATTTGGGGATTTGGTTCCATTGCCTGCAGGTGATGGGAGGCAGACATTATAAAGGGAATTTGTTTGTGCCTTCGTGTGCCAGTAGTTGGTGAAGAGCACCATACCATACAATAGATCAGGGCTCTCCAAACTTAGTAACTTTTAAGACTTGTGGACTTTCAACTCCCAGAATTCCCCAGCCAACATGACTGGCTGGCTGAGGAATTCTGGGAGTTGAAGTCCACAGGTCTTAAAGTTGCCAAGTTAGGAGACCCCTGTTACATAGCAGATTGTAGATCGGAAGAAGGCAAAATCATGCCCGTTTACAAGATACTGAGCAGGATCTGAGGATACATCCTATAATCCAAGAGTGAGAGAGTAACCCGCATCGGTCAAAACGGAAAACCCACTGGGATCTAGTTTTCCTTGGTATCTTCTTCCCATTCAGGGAAGTAACGGATTTTTAAATTGGTATTCATATCAAGGCTTTCTTCAATTCTTTCAGAATTTAAATCCTTTTAAATTCATGATGAAAATCAGGCAACGTATGGATTCACAGAGCTCTGCCCTGATCAAATCACTCAGCCAAATCAAGAGAAAAAATTCAACACTTGGGTACTTTGGGGTGCGAATTAAAGGATTGCTAAACCACATCTTGCAGTCCCATTCTCATGGATCTGGACAAACTGCACTTCTTTGAAAATCTTCTCTTCCAGAAGACAGAATCAAGCACGAGAGCTCTGAGTGTAGGTTTTGGCTGTTCAGTTCAAAAAGGCTCAAAAAAAAATGCAAATGCAGAAGGACATTCGTACCTGGCACTTTGATCTCCACTTCAATGTTTTCTTTCTTCACAGTTTCCAAGGGCTCCTTCTCTGCCCGTTCAAAATCAACCAGTTCTTCATTTTGGGTGCCCTGAAAGAGACAGGATGTCAGGATTCCAGCAATCGCCCTAATTGAGTCATGATTCTCGAGCCAAACTTCAAAAAACTTCAAAGGATTTATTAGAGGCGACATACTGGCACTTCCCTGTATGAAGCCAACTCTGGCACACATAATTTACAGTCACCTATGACCCTGTTTCTTCCCTCCCCCCCCCAGGTGTTTCATAAATCAGATTCTCCAATTGAACACATTCACAGGCTAGGTGTCATCATTCACGTTCTCCAATTAAATATATTCCTGGGCAAAAGCTCTGGTATTTTAGTTACAATCTTTTAAAGATAAAGAGTTGGAATGTACTTTCGCTTTCAAACTGCTGCACTGTTCTTCCAGATTTCCTTCCTCCCCTCCCCTTTTTTATGGCAACTACTAAAACAGGCACGTTTTATGAGCTGACAGAGGAGAGTCTTTAACTCAGAACAAGTGAGATTGATTTTGACATAATCTTGATCGGCTGGTTGCTTTGACTTATGAGGATTATTGAAGGGCACTTCAGTTGCCAAACAATATTGCCAGATTCCAGCCCATAAGAATTCCTGTTGAGTTTTCTTAAGTATCACTGCATTAGCACAATCAGAGAAGTTACACTGGCTGCATTTTGAATTTTCTCCCTACCATGAAACAACAACTGGCTAGGTTAACTTAGGTTATGTCTTTGAATCTGTCCCACTCAGAACAGTGTTTGTAAACCTTGGCAACCTTTTAAGATGTGTGGACTTCAATTTCAAGACATTCACATATTTTAAATTTAAAACAATTAGTCCCCTTTAATAATTTAAACAGTATAATTAAAAGACAAACAGCGGTAGAGGCAAGCATTTCGTATTGACTCATCAGTGCCAGATTCAAACATTTTCGCTACAGGTTCTGTGGGCATGGCTTGTTGGTCATGTGACTGGGTGGGCATGGCTTGTTGGTCACGTGACTGGGTGGGCGTGGCCAAGTCAACATCTCACAGCAGCACAGCACTCAGCCACAAATTTCAACCCTATCCCTAACCTTAACTCATAACCCTAACCCTATAAGAATGAGATGTAAAAGAATGGCTGATATCTGTACAACTTATTAATAAATGAAAAATAACTTAAAATGGAACAACAATTACCAAGCCAAGGGAGTTTGTTACTTTGTGCCAGTATTGCCACAAAAATCACAGCACCCAGCTAACGCCAACATGGCCACTCCAAACAAATCAAATTTTTTTTTACTCTTGAGAGATGCGGCTAGAGATTTGATTTGAATGGGGGTGGATTTGTTGGAGCCCTGACAATGGCTCTCAAAAATTCTAATGTAAATAAAATCATGCCAAAAACTTTTGGGTCTCTGGTTCAAAAGTTCTGCAGTCAATAGGAAATGACAATGATGCAGAAGTGCCATTCGTTTTCATCAAGTTGTAACTAACTGCAGGCAATCCTCAATTTATGACCATAATTGAGCCTGGCAATTGCAGTCCTTAAGTTGTGATGATCTTAAAGCACTGCATGACCAGACCTGTTTTATGACCTTTTTGTTTTCAATGGTTGCTAAATGAACCCACTGTTGGATTTTGCTGGACACCGGAACTAAACATAGGTTTCTGTCAAAATTGTTCTAAAACAACAGGTGCTGCAAACTGTCATAAAAGTGAACCATTTGGTGAGGATCCAAAATATGGTCATGTGATTATGACCGGGGGGAGGGAATCAGAACTTCGAAACCAGATCATAAGTCCCATTTGGGAGGCGGGGCGGGTCCATCATAACTCAAGGACTGTCTGTAACTGCAGTTTTTTACACAATGCCCAGATGTGCACCATACTGTATGTTACATAAACACTGAAGATTGATAAACTATACCGGATGGCCTTCTGATTTGGTCTCTTGCCGACTCTGCAGGAAGTCGTCCACCAGGGCCACCGCCTGGGAACACGTGTCCGGCCTCCTGGGTTGAACCCAGCTCTGAACCTTTGGAGGCAGGCTGGCCAAAAACTGCTCCAGGATCAGCAGCTCCAAGATCTGCTCTTTGGTGCGTCTCTCCGGCTTCAACCATTGGTGACAAAGTTCCTGGATCTGTTTGTAAACTATCCGAGGATCTTCCAACTCCTGGCAGCAGAACTGCCTGAAGCGTTGACGCTGGGCCTCCATTTTGGTAGCTTCCCCTTTCAAGATGGCGGCCTTCACGCTCTCGTAATCCCCTTGATAAATGGCGTCCAGGTTCCGAAAGGCCTCTTCAGCTTCTCCACAAAGGGCTGGCAGGAGATGGGTTACCCACTCTCCTCTGGGCCACCGGCAGGCTCTGGCCACCTGCTCGAAGGAGGCCAGGAAGGCCTTGGGATCTTCCCAGGGAGAATTCCTGGATCTTGTTGGATTTCCTTCTCTGGAGTGAGAGGGTTGAAGCGTCTTGAGGAACTGCTGCCATTGCGTTTCCCAGCGTGCTTCCATCCCAATGAATGTGTCTCTCTGGATCCAAGACGATGCTCTGGACTCCCAACCGAGGTTCATCTGCCCCGATGTTTGGTTCTTCTGCCCGTTCTGGGGCTTTCTTCTCTAGCCCCTTCTTCTATAATATAGAGCATTTTCAAATTAGTCCATTTGACAGAATATCGTGAGAATATACAGCAGAGGAGAAGCCTGAAATTCACTTGGTTTCTCGGTTTTCAAAAGTTAAGTCTGAGATGCAGCTGACATGATTCTAAAACCACCCTGAACTATTTTATATCAAATTTCTCAACTGAACCTAAAAGGCAACTTTAGTCCTAGATAAACATGCAATCTTTACAAAACGACAAGACTTTGGTGCTAAATAATGTTTCCCTTTTGGGGGAGGTAGGGTGGCTTTAGCATAAAAGATTATAAATTAAAATACTATGCTAAGCTATTTGCAACATTTGGCACTGGTGAGTTTTTGCTGTTTCTCCGTTGGGGGCTTTATTTTATTTATTTATTTTATTTCTTAGATTTATATTGCCACCTATTCGCCCATGGTGACTCAAGTCGGCTTACAAGGTATAAAACCACCTTTAAAATAGTAAAACTAGTAAAAAGAATCAAATAAATTAACATAATAAAATCAACCACACCTCCCACCAGATCACACGAACCCTCCTGTCCTCTTTCTTTTTCTCACTTTCTCTTCTGTCCTGCAAAATCTAGGCTAAACGAAGGTTTCAGAATTAATCACTTGAAGCACAATACAAGAATATCACACAAGTCTACAAGAAACTAGCCAAGAATTTTGAAAAAGCGGTAGGTATTTGCAATCCAAAATTCACTTTCTTAATGCTCAGTAAACTTTTAAAACTTTAGGGGAAACCTTATCTCAGACATGTCCCTTTTAGAAGATTAGATTAGAATATTTTATTGGCCAAGTGTGGTTGGACACACAAGGAATTTGTCTGGGTGCAAAATTAACTAATAACAGATAGATAACAGATAATCAGAGTTGGAAGGGACCTTGGAGGTCATTTAGTTCAAACCCCTGCCCAAGTAGGAGACCCTACACCATTTCTGACAAATGGCAGTCCAATCTCTTCTTCAAAGTCTTAAGTGATGATGCTCCCACAACTTCTGAACTGAAAGAGAACAACCTACTCTTTTATCAAGAAGTTAACAACACACACACACAGATGCACAGTGGCAGATGTCACACATGGGCCCTTCAAACATTAAACAGGTTTTTTTTTTACTGCTTTGGAGGGATTGAAGCCCCCTTTTTTCTCAATGGGCATCATATTCAGACAAAGAAAATTAATTAAAAAATATCCTTTCCTTTTCTAAAGCCTGCCTCTTTCTCTGCACCTATATTAAGGGGGGGAGGATAGGGGAAGTGCAAGAGGCGAGGCCAGCCTGCCCCCTTCTTGTCTCCCCCACACACACACAACGGGACAAGAAGGCGGGAGGGCTGATCTTCCAAATGGGGATCCGCGCACTCGCCGCCTCCCCCGGGAGGAGCTCCGTGGCGGCCCTGCAGCGGGACACACGGTGGGAGGGGGAGATCGCCCCTTCCTCCTTTGCACCCCCAATTTCCCCTCTTCCCCGGGCCGCCGAGCCCCCCGGCCCGCCACCCCTGCGCTGGATTAGGCGAGCAAGACGCGCAAACTCAATGCTTATGCCGTGCAATGCAAGGGATGCAATGCAAGGCAACGCAATGCAATCCGCCCCGAGCCTCTTGGATCCCGGGGACGATCCCGGACGAAGAGGAGACCGCGGGATCCCCCGGGCCGGAGGCCTCCCGGTGCAACGGTCTGCCGCAACTCCGGAGCAAACCTCCGCCTTCCCGGCCCAGGATCGCAAGGCTGGAGGCCTCTAGGTAACATCCCCGCCGGCGGCCAAACCCCCGGTCCGTACCGGCAACGGCGGGACCCGCGCGGCTTCTCTCCTCCCCGGCGCCGTCCGGTGGGCGTGCGAGCGCTGGGGGGCCCCCCGGGACTCGCGGCCGCCGCAGCTGCGCCCATCAATCCCCGCCTCGCTTCGCCTTGACGCGCCGCCGCTGGATCGGCGGAAGGGAGCCCGCGGGCGCCCCCTCCCGACCGGCCTCGGCTCTGCTTTGCTCCCCGCAGCGGTCTCGGACCGGCCGGGCGACGGAGAGGCTGGGCCGTGGCATCGATCCATCAATGAGTAAAGCTGGAAAGGGACCTTGGAGGTCTTCTAGTCCAGCCCCCTCCTCACGCAGATTTGGATCAGATACAGATATAGATTAACAGAGTTGGAAGGGACCTTGTAGGTCATCCAGTCCACCCCCACCCCCACAAGTAGATTCTACACAATTTTTGACTGATGAGATTTGGGGAAAGCTGTTCAACCCTAATAACCCTGAGGTAGATTTCTTGGTGGTCTCCCAACCAGTTCCCGAATGGAGCCCGCCCTGCTTAGCCTTTTTTGAGATCCGCTATTGATCAGCTAGCGGTGTGGCATCCTTCTGCTGGAAGAGACAGCCTAAACTTTTGGGTCAGTGAGGAACAGAAAGCTGGCTTCGTTGCACACCGGACCATAATGCTGTGTATTGCGTTATCTATAACCCAAGGAGTCATTGCCTCTCTTTCTCTCTCTCTCCCCCTTCTCTCTCCTCTCCTTTCTCCTCTCCTCTCTTCCCCCATGTCTCTCTCTCCTCTCCCCCT